AGAAAACTAAAAAGCATAAATAAGTAAACAACTTACCTTAAAGTATTTAGAGAGAAAAGTTGGTGATAAAAAGAGCACTTGTCGGACTCATAGGAGAAAAAAAGAAAAGGCTGAGTGGACGCAACGGTGACTCGATAAGACTAAGATTTAAGTCTGAAATAATGTTAAAGACTAAAGAGAAAAGGTGGAGTTGAAGCTTGAAAGTCAAAGGCTGTATGAACTATGGAGGTTGAAGAATATGAGAAGAGTTTGAAGTTTGAAGAGTTAGAGTTTTCAAGAGTATTAGGGCAAATAAGAATAGGAGGTCGGAAGGTGAGTTATGAGTGGAGTGGGATTATTTTTACTTCTAAAAGATGATGAGTCAAGAGAATCAATTAGTTAATTAGGGAATATTAGTCAATTATTAGAGGTTTAGGTGGGATTGGGAATTGGAAAACAAAATAAATAAATAATAAATTAAAAAATTTTATATTTTTAAACGGGTAAACGGGTCAAACCCGTTAACCCGATGAGTCAACCTGTTATTGACCCGTGACCCGTTGGGTTCTCTTAACCGGTCATTAACGGGTCACGGGTCATAAATATATGACCCTAACCCGTTTTAAACGGGCGGGTAATGGGTGGGTTAACGGGTTGGGTAAAAAATTGCCAGGCCTAGTGAGCAGGTTGTTAAGGAATGCTGCAGCAAGCAAGAACCACTCGTAGCACACTTAGAGTTGCCAAAAATACAATCCTCAATCTATGAATGTGGAGGGTGACTACTTAATCACAAACCTCAAGACTTTCTGTTAGTACTCACAACACATTTGTTTAGGCAATTATTCCTTCCATTCAACTTTAGTAGTTATAGTTTGATTTTTTGACTTTCTAATATTAATTTCAGACGAAAGTTTAACAAAACATATGAATGACAATTGAAAATTTTCTTTTTTTCCGGATATGTACTTCTTGTTAAGAGTTTCATTTGATAAAATAATATTTCCAATTGTCATCCGTAAACTATGTTAAATTTTCATTGAAATTAATGTCTAAAAAATAAAGAAGGTCAAATTAAGCAATGTTTTTGGGTCCAGCCTGGTGGTTGAATCAGTTTGGCCATCGGGTCTGGTTGAACCGGTTGAACTGATTCTCTGACCGATCCGACCGATCCAACCGATCAACTTAAAAAACAGTATTTTTAACATATTTATTAGATTTTATTATTGTATATTATTTTTATTTTATTCTTAAAAA